AGTTAACCTGTAACCTCATATAAAATAAAACAAATTAAATCTCACCGGATTCCCTTGAACCTATTATTTTTTAATTCATTTCAAAAAGAATAACCTCCTTCTAAATTTGAATATAATTTAATTTAAGCTTTCAAATTAATCCTCAATGAGAAGCTGTCACGATCCGGATTTTCCACCATCGGGACCGTGATGACGCCTAACATCGCACTTGTTAGGCAAGCCAATGTTAGAGTTATATTCACCTTTTTTCTTTATATTTTTGTAGTTAAAATTAACAAAACTAAATCAAACATAAATAAATGCGGAAGTACATAATAAACTGGTTATCTATATGCTATTAACAATACTGAAATTGTTACCACCCAAAATATTGGTGTTACAATCCACGAACATACTACGAATTACTACAAATACTGATCTGAAAGAAATTACATCTGTCTCAAAAGGAAAGAAAACGGGAAAGTAGAAACATAGAAGGGCACGCCAGGGCCTCCGGATGCCAGCAGGACTACCTTGGGCCTCCTAGATGAAATGTCTGCAAGCGACCTCACGATCAGCCACTACCAGCTCCAAAATCTGCACAGAAAGTGCATAGTACAGTATCAGTACAACTGACCCCATGTACTGGTAAGTGCTGAGCCAAACCTCAACGAGATAGTGACGAGGCTACGGCAAGGCATTTACAATACAACCTGCATACAGTATATAATAAAGCAAAAAGGAAGTACGAAACGAAATAGAATAGTAACTCGCAGCAAAAATAAATACGAAACTCAATTATCTTGCTAGTACTCAGCTATAACAAATCCTTAAGAGAGTTACAATGCTACAGAATAAAATCACAGCAGAAGAAGAATACATAAATAACAAAATGATGCGGTGCGCATCCCGACCCCACCATATCATCAGTAACAATATGAACATTCACCCTTATTACTCCGTATCAATCCATCCTTATTACTCCTGTTGCGACGTGCAACCCGATCCTACCAGACAATAGTAATCCACCCTTAGTACTCTTCAATATATCTCCCGTATTCCTCCTGTTGCGGCGCGCAACCCGATCCTACCAGACAATCATATTTCACCATTATTCCTCCTCAATATATCACCTTTATTCCTCCTGATGCGGCGTGCAACCCGATCCCACCATATCAGTACCAATCACACAATAAGAATAGAAATTGCACAATTTAGCTCAAAACCCTCCACAATATTTAAGCCTCAAACCAAAGCAAACAGAAGGCTATACAATCGTGAAACTTCACTCAATTAATACTACACAGCGAGACCAAACAAAATATACTATGAAACACTGGTAAACCAGCTTAAACCAATAATGTAACACAATGAAACTTCGAAATAACTAATACCTTCAATAAAGAAAACAACATATAACAAGAAGCAATTAGATATGGAAGCACCAATAAACATGTAGTAATTAAGATAGAAAGACAATATATTAGGATTGGGGAAGGCAACAGGCTAAACAAATAATTTGGTCGCGCACAGGTACTCCTCACCACACCTATACGCCACACACATGAAATTTCACATAGCAATTAAGTCGGGGATCCCTAATCCCTCGAGTCAATGTTAGATCAAACACTTATCTCGATCCACATGCCAACTCAAAGATCAATTACCGCTTTTCCTTTAGATTCCACCTCCAATCCACTCGTATCTAGTCATAATTAACTTAATAACATCAATTATAGCTAAAAAAAATTAATTCCAATGCATAATTATAGGTTTCCCAACATTTCCCCCAAAAAGTCAAAAACTGACTCCGGGCCCGCTTGGTCAAAACCCAAAATTCGGACTAAAACTCGATTATCCATTCATCCTTGAGCCCGGATATACAATTGGTTTTGGAATCCGACCTCAATTTAAGGTCTAAATCCTCAAATTTTGAAATTCCTAAGTTCTATCCAAAAATCCTCAATTCCACCATAAAACCCCTAGATTCTAGGATAAAACCTTGCAAAAAGAAGTAAAACATTGAAAGAAATGAGGTACGATTCATTTACCTATGATTTGGGGAAGAAATGGTCTTTGGAAAATCGCCTCTTGAGGTTTAGGTTTTGAAAAATGGGAGAATGAAAAATTCCGTCAAAAATTATTTTTGCACAGTTGCTGGTATCGCATTTGCGATCAGGGGTTCGCAAATGCGAACATCCCTTAGCAAATGCGAAGAATGTCCTATCCCGCTACCATCACAAATGCGAACAATTGTCCGCAAATGCGGTCTCTGAGCTTATCCCAATTACGATCCTGAGCTTCGCAATTGTGAAGGTCCCCTCCCAGCCCTTCTGCTCGCAAATGCGACATTTCTTCGCAAATGGGAGGCTGACATTTGCGATCCAGACTCCACAAATGCGAAGTCTGCAGACCTGAAGCAACCAGCAAAATATTTTAAGTCCAATCACTCTGTAGCCTATCCGAAACTCACCCGAGCCCTCGGGGTTCCAAACCAAACATGCACACAAGTCTTAAAGCATCATACGAACTTGCTCGTATGATCAAATCGTCAAAATAATATCTAGAACTACGGATTTAGCACCAAAGTGCATAAAATTTTCAAGAAAATTTCAAAACTTCTATTTTCCCAACCAAAGGTTCGAATCACGTTAAATCAGTCCCGTTTCTTACCAAATTTCATAGATAGGATATAAATGTTATATTAAACCTGTACGAGGCTCCGAAATCAAAATACAGGCCCGATACTAACAAGATCAAACATTAATCAAATTCTTTAAATCATTAGATTTTCGGTCTTACTTCTTACATCAAAATTCATTTCTCTGGCTTAGAACCTCGGAATTCGATTCCGGGCGTATGCCCAGGTCCCATATTTTACTACGAACCTACCGGGACCATCAAAATATGGTTCTGGATCTGTTTACCTCAAAAATTGACCGAAGTCAACTAAAATCAACTTTTAGGCCAAAATTTGTTATTTCATAAATTTTCCAAATAAAGGCTTTCCGTAATCACGCCCGGACTGTGTATGCAAATCGAGGAGAAATAAAATGAGGTTTTTAAAGCCTCAGAACATGGAATCGAGTTCTAAAACATAAGATGACCCTTTGGGTCATCACATTCTTTACCTCTAAAACAATCGTTCTTCCTCGAAGGGACATAGAAAAGTACCTGAGCCAGTGAATAGTTGGGGATATCTGCTCCGCATATCGGATTTGGACTCCTAGGTGGCTGCCTCAATAGGCTAACCTCTCCACTATACACGAACCGAAAGATAACTCTTCGACCTTAACTGATGAACCAACCGGTCTAGAATAGCTACCGGCTTCTCCTCGTAAGTCAAATCATTGTCCAATTGGACAATGTTGAAATCTAACACGTGGGATGAATCACCGTGATACTTCCGAAGCATGGACACATGAAACACTGGATGTACTGCTGATAAACCTGGTGGCAACGCGGGTTTGTAGGCCACCTCTCCCACTTGATCAAGAATCGCAAAAGGCCCGATGAACCTAGGGCTTAACTTGCCCTTCTTCCCAAACCGCATCACACCCTTCATGGGTGACACCCGAAACAATACTCTCTCTCCGACCATGAATGCCACATCACGAACCTTACGGTCGGCATAACTCTTTTGCCTAGACTGAGTTGTACGAAGCCTATCCTGAATGATTTTAACCTTATCCAAGGCATCTTGCACTAAATCTGTACCCAATAACCGAGCCTCCCCCGGCTCAAATCATCCGACCGGTGATCGACATTGTCTACATACAATGCTTTATAGGGATCCATCTAGATGCTCGACTGATAACTGTTGTTGCAAACTCCGCTAGCGGCAAGAACTGATCCCAAGAACCTCCAAAGTCAATGACACAGGGATGAAGCATATCCTCCATGATCTGAATAGTACGCTCGGACTGTCTGTCCGTTTGAGGATGAAATTTTGTACTCAACTCGACCCGGGTACCCAACTCACGATGTACGACCCTCCAGAAATGCGAGGTAAACTGCGTACCTCGATCAGAAATGATAGATATGGACACACCATGGAGACGATGATCTCACGGGTATAAATCTCTTCCAACTGCTCTGAAGAATAGGAAACTGCCACAAGAATAAAATGAGATGACTTGGTCAGCCTATCCACAATAACCCATACTAAATCGAACTTCCTCTGAGTCCGTGGGAGTCTAACAATGAAATCCATAGTGATACGCTCTGACTTCCACTCAGGAATCTCAATCTTTTGAAGTAAACCACCAAGTCTTTGATGCTCGTACTTTACTTGCTGACAATTTAAACACCGAGCTACATATGCAAACAATAAATTTCTTTATTGATTGTACTAATATACTGTCTCTTTTTGTCTTCTTCAGCTGAGGGTCTATCCGAAATAGCCTCTCTACCCCTCGAGATAAGGGTAAGGTCTGCGTACACACTACCCTCCTCAGGCCTCACTAGTAGAATTTCACTGGGTTGTTGTTATTATTGTTGCAATAGAAGTCATCGTTTACCATTTAAACAATTGACTTTGAAAAGTTCAAGACCACTAGAACTACTATTTACTGAGGACCTTCTCCAATCACGTCCTCTCATTGATTTCGCTTCTATGTTATCTTTGTGGCTAATTTCACCAAATACATGAGGTTCTTCCCTTTAAAAGGAAATTTGATGTTATTTTAACTTTTATCAACTTCAGATTGCTTGTTGAGAAATATTTTAGTGTTCCAATTCTTACTATTTATTCTAATGGTGGTGGAGAATACAAGGGTATGATGTGTGAATTTTAAACACTCATTAGTACCGTCTTGATTTAGTTTTAATCTGAAAGTGTTGATTTTTATTCCCAAAACTAATTAAAGTGTATAAATTGCAGGCATGTTCGAGGATTGGAGCTTAAGGAATAAATCTAACTCAAAAAAGAGTATTCCAACTCAAAAAGACAAGAAGGATAAAAATAGGTAAAAGTGCGGTCCGCAGCCGCAGAGGAAAGTGCGGTCCGCAGAAATGCACATATGGCTGCAGAAAGAGCCCCGAAGCCTCAGAGAAATTCTAAAAGCGCGGTCCACACATTAAATTGTGCGACTGCAAAAGCTGGTCACACTGACAAGATTTAAAAAGTTTAGAGAAGGTGAAAAACGACCAAATGTGAGCCTTGTCAAAGTGCGGTCCCACATATGGAAAAGTACGGCCACAGAAGCTGAAGTGCAGCCGCAGATAGAATTGTGCAGCTGCAGAATTTCTCCCAAATGAAGAAGAGAAGAAAAGTGCGGACCGCACATGAAATTGTGCAGCCGCAGAACCTCCCGAAGGGCATTTTTGTTAGTGAAGTCACTATAAATAGACGAGAAATACTTTTTATAGTAAGTTTTGTATTCTAGAGAGCTATAGCGGTTATATTTTACCTTTTGGGAAAGTAGTGACAATTATTGGTGAAGAATCATTAGTTTTATTATTTAAGTATAGTTTATGGCTTTAATTACTTCTTCTGCTTTGTTTTTTTCACTTTCTAACATGAGTAGCTAGATTTTTTCTAGGGTTGTGATCCAATCCTAGTGTGTAAACTTTATGGGTTATAATTTTAATGCTTGTTTATGATTGGATGTTTATTATTTAGCCTTATTCATGCATTATTTCTAGAATTAATGGTTGTAAACATTGATTCATGCCTATTTGACTTAGTTCTTACTTGAGAAAGAGGAACTTAATCTAGAAAAATTTTGGCTAACAAGGAATTGAGCTAGTTAAAGTTTTGACTAGTTTAATTAAAGGGTTTAAACTAGAGATAGGAAAAACTCGACTTGGACTCATATCAATTGGATTGCTACCCAATTAGTCTTGAGAAAGCCAATTTGGGCATAACCACTCTATGACCGAGAGGTATTGAGTGGGTACTTGAGATTGAGAGTTATAATCCGCAAAACAAGCATTAACGTAATTTACACGTTAGGTTTGCACTTAGGTGAAGGTTACATCCCTAGGCTTTTTGCCATTTGTTTAAAAATACCAAAATAATTATTCTCTTTTTAGTTATTAGCAATTAGTTTAAATATCTTAGTATTAATTTGGAAAACAATCACTCTTTGTTTGGAAGCGTAATTTGGTTGTTTCACATACTCTCGACAAGTATATGCCTTAACACCCTTAATAAACTCTCTGAGAAATTCGACCCCGAATCTAGTTGGGTATTATAATTGCAACGACCGTTTCCACTCACTATTGAGTGCGGATTGGATGTGGATCAGGGTCTCACAAAAACACTTTCAAACATGGAAATTCAACACATTTTCTCACCCCTTACACTCTTCAAAAATTTAGTAGTGTTGAACTACGCCGTCGTCAAATTATGGAAACAACTTTGACTCTTTTACATCAAGCCTCCATACCACTTGCATACTGGCCTTATGCATGCTCAAACACTGTCTATCTTATAAACAGAATGACCATGTCGATACTACAAGGCAAATCTCTATATGAATCTTTGTTTCATACCCCTCTAAATTATAAATCACTTCGCACATTTTGTTGCTTGTGCTATCCTTGGCTACGTCCCTATATTGACCATAAACTTGATCTAAAATCCAAACCATGTGTCTTTTTTAGCTATTCTACCAAATACCATTGCTACCAATGTTTTGATCCTTCTACCTCTAAGCTTTTCCTTTCTTGCCATGTTCTTTTCTTAGAAAATAACTTCCCTTTTGCCACCATATTCTCCTTTTTACCAAGGATAACTAAATCTAATCTCCACATCTAGCCTAATGTTATACCCACTGATCAATCACCCCTACCTTTCATGATCAGAACAATACTATAATCACTTCACATGATCTTCCTTTATTCCCTGTCATCTCAGCTCCTCTATTTCAATCATCAGGCACCATTATCTCATCACCTGCTACTTCTAGTTTGCCCTCGACCACCAGTTCTCATAAGTCTCCAGTAAAATTACATTCCACCTCTACTCCGACATTGAGTGAAGATGCTTCCAGCTCTCCTTTGCAGCAGGTAAGTACCTCTACTCCTGAACCTACCCATATAGTTACTCGTTCTCAGCATAAAATCTTTAAACCAAATAAGCCTTTTGATTATTCGGCTTTAGTTGTATCGACAAGTTCCATGATTACTCCTCACACATATAAGCAGGCACCCAAATCTAAAGAATGACAAGATACAAGTCAGTAAGAGGTTGATGCGCTTGTGAGGAACAAAACTTGGAGTCTAGTACCTCCCTCGTACACACAAAATATTATTGGTTACAAATGGGTATTTCAGGTAAAAAAAAAGTAGATGGAAACATTAATCGTTTAAAGGCTCAGTTAGTTGCAAAAGGTTTCCATCAATGCCTTGTCATTGACTTCAACTTTGCATTTCGTCCTATAGTCAAGCCTACTACCATTAGCCACATTGTCACATTTGCCACTTATTTTAAGTCAACTTGATGTCAATTATACTTTCTTGCAAGGCACTTTAGAAGAGAAAGTTTATATGGAACAACCCCTTGGTTTTGTGAAGTATCAGTACCCTTCTCATGTTTGCAGACTTCACAAGGCAATCTATGGTCTTCGTAAAGCACCTCGAGCTTGGTATATGGAGTTTAAGAATTTCATATGTTCCATTGGGTTTGCTCGTTCCAAATTAGATACCTCTCTGTTTACAATGCGTGGTCCAGGTTTTGTTCTTTTCCTACTCTTGTACGTAAATGATATTAATTTGACGGACTCATCCAACGCCAAGATACTTCAAGTCAACAAAGCACTTGTTGCCCGCTTCTCGCTCAAAGACTCAACTGTGCTCACTTATTTTCTTGGTGTTGAAGTTTGTCGAACTACCACAAGTCTTTATCTCTCCCAGAAGAAGTATATTACTGATTTTCTTCATCGGCTCAATATGTTTGATGCCAAAGGTGTTACCACACCTCTTGCAGGCTCTGTTATACTTAAACTTACAGATAGATCTGCCCCTACGGATCAAAAGCAATATTGTTAGCTTGTAGGTGTTCTTCAATACCTCTCTATCACTCGACCTGACATTGCGTTTGCTGTCAACCGGCTTTCACAGTTCATGCACCAGCCAACCCACCTCCACTGGCGAGCTGCCAAACGTGTTCTGTGCTATCTCAAGGCTACATCTACCATTTCTCTTTATCTTGATCTGTGCCTCGTTTGATCTCATTACTTACTTGGACTCTGATTGGAGTGGAAATCCAGTTGATAAATGCTCTACTAGTTCTTACGTTGTGTTCCTTGGAATCTTACCTATTAGTTGGTCTTCTAAGAAGCAACAGACAGTAGCTCACTCCTCCACTGAAGCTGAAGATAAGACCATTGCCAACGTAGCCACATAAACTAATTGGATTGTCAACCTTTTGAATGAACTCCATTTCTCTAGCTCTAACACTCCAACAATCTATTGTAATAATCTAGGTTTTCTCAATCAGAACCCAATCTTTCATTGCCGAAGGAAGCATTTAGCTTTTGACTATCAGTTTGTACGAGAGCAGGTCCGCAACTAAGCATTGGTTGTTCGTCATGTTCCTTCTGAATCTCAGCTTGTTGATTCTCTTACTAAGGTGGTACCAGCTATAATGTTTCTTCGTCATCGATCCAAGATTGGCTTTAGATTGGCATTGTCGAGTCACCGCTTATCTTGCGGGGCATAATAAGGCAACACAATCTTTTTTTATATTTGTTTCACTATAATCTTTTTTTATTATTCTGTAATTTATTTTTTCTGGTTACAATTCTTATTCTTCTATGTATATCTTTTATTGCGATTCTTTAGGGTCCTTCTTTCCTTTTGTACCTGAGCAACCTTGCTCCTCCATCTTGTATTTAAAGAATCATGTAATAGATAAAGCCAGTTCTCTGCAAACTCATTCTTGAACCTCTTTAGTTAGTACTTCCTCCATTCTAATTTATTTGAATCTATTTGATTAGGCACAAAATTTCAGAAAAAAATGAAAAAGTTTGAAACTTGTGATCTTAAACAAGTTATAAACATTTTTATGGTTATAAATTTTTTGTAACTTATGGTGTTAAACATGCCAGAGCATTTGTGCGGCTAGAAAAGTTTCTCATTAAGGATAAAATTGAAAGTTTAAGTTAGTGAGGAATTATTCTTTTTGAAATAGACAAAAAACAAAAAAAAAAACATAAACTGGAACGAAAAATGTACTACTTTACTATTATCCACAAGAAGTAAAAAGAAAAAGAAAAAGAAAAGGATAAAAGACATTCGTAAATAGCAAGTGAACAATGCAATAATTCAGCACTAATTCCTAAAATAGGAAATTTTAATTTTTGTAAGTCTTGATTTAGCTGGCAGTATTTATAAATAGGAAGTCAATATCTGAAACTAAGATTTTATTTGGAAAGTCTGTTAACTAAAACATAGTTCTACAAACTTTTAATTTTTCCAAATAAGATTCACGAAAAAAATTTAATTTATATATTTATTTCGTATTTAAAATATTATTTCAACAATTTTTAATGGTGTAAATATCGTCCAAACGCATCGTTGAAGAGAAATTTTGGAATCCAGAATCAAAGTAACGCATTTTGAAACTTAAAAAACCAAATTAAAGTGTAAAAAAAGAAAGAAACAAAACTACATATAGCGCAATGTTATCCATGCACTATACCACTCTGAGCTAAAGGCTCATCCTAACGGGATCTGGTATAGCACATGACTATCATGCGCTATATGTGCCTGCTTATTTTCTAAGTTCCAACAACAAATTATGTTTGGTTGAGGTGATGTCCCTATGTGTTTCTACAGGAAACACACAATTTTGAGGCCTTCATGGGCTCCCTTCAATCCGGGTAAGAGGCGTTGGATTTATAAATATTATGTGAATAATGAATATGCAGATCTATATTTTGTATTGTACTAATTATTCTATAAGTTGATACATCGATTATCATTTGTTTTGATTGTGTGTATATATAGGAGGAGGATCAATATAGTTTTGACAAGTGGTATGATGAATCTTTCAACAGGAATACTACAAACCAGTGACGCAAGAACTTTGGAAACGTACCGGTGAGAACGAAAAGAAGACCTGAAAACTCAAAGAAAAATATTACAACTTTGAAAAAGATCGAGGTCGAGGCAACGAAAGGGAAACTGAAAGAAGCTGAAGAAGAGATCAAGAGAAATTACAATGACGACTGAACCAGTGCATAATAGGTGATAGAGACTGAAGAACCACATGACTGCCTTAATTTTGTTGCTTTTGTAAGTTGTTATTCATGTGTGACGAGTAACCGCAAGCTAGCAACAATGAAAGAATGAGCGACACCAACTCGAAAGGCTTTAAGCATCTTGCGTATTGATTGGTGAGCTAATCAATATCAAATATGAAAGGGAAATCGTTAAATTATTCAATTTGATAATAATTGAATAATTTAAGAATAATTGAATTCTATTTTCAAGTTGATTCAAATTATTTGAACGTTTTATTATTTATTTATTTTTTGTTTTAGCATACAAAAAAACTTTTTGAATTCCCGGTAGAGAGGCTATTCCTCCTGGAACAAAAGGATCAACCTTAGATGGGAATTAGGGTGAAGCCAGGGGTGGTCTCTGCCGTTCAACTATAACTATATGGCAAACACCCCATTCTGCAGCAGAGCATGAGCACACGATAGCTCACGTTTGATACCTATCTTCAGGAGCATGAAATCAAAGACCCTTGACGCGTATTCTCCGTCGGAGTTCAGACCTCAACCTCTTGATCTCTTTTTTAATTGATTTTTAAGAGGATTGACAAATCTCACTGTGCCTAATACAACTAATTAGAAGTGGAATGAAGATAATGCGCTTTACTTTTTCATTTGTAGCTGGATTACCCCTGGGCTAACTTAACTTGAATCTGTTCTCTTTAGTTTTTCACAGGCTTCTCTTCTCCTAGTAATCCTAACTTGGTATGCAAGCTCAAGAAAGCGATTTATGTTACGGCCTTCGGCAAGCTAAAGCAGGCACTAAGAGCTTGGTTTGAAAGGTGACAACAGCATGTATAAGAGCCGAAATAGGAGTAGAGAAAGGAGCCGATTTTCAAGTAAATTAGATCATTCAATGTTAATAAGGAGGTCGATATCGGACGATGGTTGTTTGAACCCAGTCAAGTCATACCGAGCTTAGCGAAAGATAGAAAATGGTACTAGCTAAAGAGAAGGATCAGAGAAATTTCTCTAAACTCTCATACAAAGGGGAAAAGGCTACGGTTGAAAGTAAAAGATCACTGGGTTTACGAGGAGGCTAGGTTAGCCGAAAGATGGTAATCCGTTCAATATTTTTCATACTTAGACTATTTCATGTACTATGCGTTGTGTATTTTGGATTTGTTATACAAAAGAAGTACGGATTATGTGTTGAAATGTGTATTTTGAAAGCTTAAATAAATTCATCATGCAAAAAAAAAAATTACACAAGAAAGTTAAGAAATAATTTAGTATATATAAAGTCATTATCATCGAGGGGTCCCACATTTCGTATGCCTTAGCCTATTTGTCGGCTTTACGCGCATACCTTCCGATCACTCGCTATATTAGGGTCATCCTCATCCCATCGCCTCTTTATTATGCGATGCTCTATAGCATGAACATCAGGAAGAGCATGCTTTTTTTGGGCCATATATGCTTCTTTCCATATGAACTAACAATCCTAACTGGTGAAGATGACTCATCAGGACTAGCGGGATCGTCAAAATCAATGAATTATCGTGCTGATCGCTTGTATTTATCATAGAGTTTGCATGCCCATCTGTTGATAAAAATAATATACGAAAAAAATTAATAAATTGTACACGCAAATGAAATATATTAAGCATACGAAATACAATAAAAGTCTAAAGCGCGATGCTCAAAGGATCCCTAGTGAATGCTCGAAGGAATCTTCCAATGAAATATAATGTGTGTGTCTCTGGCCTCCAACACTCAAGCAATACCATGATCAGTGACCAATTAAATTACAATCGATCCACCTCAACGACATAGTAAAGATCAGTGGCAGACAAACACTCGATAATGTGGGAATATAGAGGGCGGTCCTTACTCAGCTCCCAAAAATCATTGATGTGTCGCTAACCAGAGCTCTGATGTTGCAATTCTCCATTTTAAATTAAAAAAAGACCTATGACCCACTTTTAACCTAAGAAAATGATGTATAAGGATCAGAGTGAATAACCGGGCGATCCATCATACTATAGTATAAGTGGGAACATTTTAAGTTTAACTTAATTTACAAAATTACCCATAAAAACTTGACTGACAATTTTGCCCTTAAACAAAAACAATTCCTTCTATTAAATTACACTAGTTTCTCGACACGTGCACGTGTATACCTACCGAGTGATGAAGTATACAATTTATGTAAACTTACTTGTGATGTAATGCACGTGTATGTCTTGTGAATGATCAATGTAGATCGTCGTATTATAACTTGTTCATCGAAATAAAAATGATTGGATAACATTTGAACCTACTACGATAAATAATCAAAATTAATTAGATACATGCGAGTTTTTTTGCTTTGATTTTGTTTGATACAACCATGTAATGAAGTATATCTCATCTAATATTTCCTTATAAATGATATTCCTAGTATTTTTTATTTTCAATTGCTCTGTAAAGATGATTTGGCTATAATTAAACCTACAAAAATGAACAAGTAAAGTTTAATAGATACATGCAATTCTTTTATTTATTCGATTTTATTTTGTACAAATATGTAATACAACATATATATATATATATATATATATATATATATTATAGATAAAACAACATTAATTAAAAATTAATAACTCTTTTTATTATGAAAAAGGAAAAGATTTTTTCAATGCATCTCACCTTCCTTCTTAATCAACATTCTCTATGTTACAGTAGCCATAAGCCGTACTATTATTTATAACGTCCGTCTTTTTCAAAAAGAATACCAAGATTCATTTTTATTATAACGTCTTTAATCTTCTCATGAACTAATAATATGAATCCTATCATTAAAACTAATAAATTCATTAGATTATATTACACACATATAAGATCGGCTATCTTCACTTCTTTAACTCTTTTTATTACCGTCAAACCTCTATATAATATAATCATTTGTTCAATATTTTTTGGCTACTATATATAGTGAAGTGCTGTTATAGAGGATATATATAAAAAAAAATAAAAAAAAGTTGGTTTCGAGAAAAATTTTGACTTTTATAATGAATGACTATTATATAGAGATACTGTTATAGAGAAGTCTGACGGTACCTTGTACTTGGAATTAGCGGTTTCCTTTATGTGCCGTCTTCATGGTAATATGCATTGTTTATGTTAAAATGTATTATTCATT